TTGAGGGTTAATTTTGAGTTAACATCTCATGGAATTCTGTTCATTTATTTCTCTCTTAACAGGTCAGTCCTATTGAGTATGGGCATGTGCTGCTGATTCCTCGAATTTTTGAGTGCTTGCCTCAAAGGATTGATCGGGAAAGCTTCTTTCTTGCACTTCACATGGCAGTAGAAGCTGGGAATCCATATTTCCGTTTGGGTTACAACAGCTTGGGTGCATTTGCAACTATCAACCACCTTCATTTCCAGGTACTGGTTGCTGAAGAACTTGACATAATTTCTCAACATTCTTGTAAAATTATTGTATTGCTTATCGAGTGTTTGGCCCTCAATCAAATTGCAATTTTGATGGTTTTGACATGACCAGGCTTACTATTTGGCTATGCCTTTTCCCATTGAGAAGGCTCCCTCCAAGAAAATAGCCACTTTAAATGGTGGTGTCAAGATATCCGGATTGCTAGGTTATCCGGTCAGAGGCCTTCTCTTTGAGGGCGGTGATACTCTGGAAGATCTGTCAAATGCTGTTTCAGATGCCTGCATCTGCCTTCAAGACAACAACATACCTTACAATGTTCTTATTTCTGATTGTGGAAGGCTAATCTTTGTCCTGCCACAGGTGAAACTTTATCTTAAATATTGAGAAAGCAGGAATTGTAACCTTACAGTCTTACAAACACTTACTTTGCTTGCAACCACATTCATCAGCTGCATCAGCTCACATAGTTTGTCTTCTAAATGAACAGTGCTATGCAGAGAAGCAAGCTCTTGGAGAAGTGAGTGCAGAGCTGCTCGACACCCAGGTAAATCCGGCTGTATGGGAGATTAGTGGTCATATGGTGTTGAAGAGGAAGACCGACTATGATGAGGCGTCAGAAGCCAAGGCTTGGAGGCTTCTTGCAGAGGTCTCCCTCTCAGAAGAGAGGTTTCAAGAAGTTATCGCCCTCATCTTTGAAGCCATTGCTGCCACTGTTGAGCTGGAAGCCAATTCTGAATCTCTGGAGGAAGTCAAGGCAGCAAACTCACGCCGCTGCCCATCCATGGCGGCCGGCTCACAAGAATGTCTTGTACTCCAGTAAACAAGGCTCTGATGAACACTTTCACTGTGATTCTGTTGTAAAAGTAGCTACTTTATGCTTCAGATTAAGTCAGTACCCCCTTCATGTTTCGCTTATTTAGTTGTAAACTGAGTTTGCTTTGTAGTGCTGTGTGTGTGTATCTTGTGATCATTGGCACTGTTATGCTTGGCTATGCTTCAATGTCTCTGAAGAACAATTGTGTAATAACTGGTGCCGTAAGCACTTGGTAATGTTAAATGATTGTGTATGATTACGCTTTTTTAACTGTTATCTCATCTCTTGTTTATTCTCGCCCTTGGAGAAGATAAATCCTTGGAGAAACTTGGCTTGTTTAGATAAAATAATAGATGAAATCATATTTGAATAAATATACCTGTAATGAGTTTCGATGAAGCACTAATGATTTGTTGAGCTTGTTTATAAGTTAAATTAACAGATAGTTGGATCTTTTATTGTTTTATTTAGTCCTTGGTTGTTGTCGGTTGAGGGGTTCCCTTGATACCACCAAAAATTAGTTATAAAATTTCTACAAATCGAGTTTGATTAAGATGTCGATGACAGATTGATTGCCTTGAGAGTTGAATCACTATATTTTAGAGAAAGCGCAGTGCTGATTTTAGGGAAGATATTGAGACTGGCCTGTAAAGTATGGTGTTAGGTAAGCACATGATTCACATGCATAACGTAATATCGGAAATAGCATCGGCCAGATTCGGTTGTAGAAACAACACGCTCCTAGTACCCAAAAATGTACAATACCCACTAGTACGCGTCACAGAGACGCTTGATAGCGTAATAATAATGTGCTGTTTGTTCTTTAAAAAAACCATTTTATTTAGTTAATGTAAATGTCAAGCGTTATTTAAAGAGGAGGTTGCGTTTATTTTACAACTTTTTCAAATTTCTTGTTTCAAAAGGATATTGTGGTATTTTTCATGCATGTGAAAAAAAAAAAAACCAATCCAACGTGATTCCTTCACGCCTTTAATAATTCGGTGAGTAAACATAGTTTATGGGGCGCAACTGAAGCCAAGTTTGTGAAGAAAGCCAACCCACTTTGATTATTTAATTTTTAAATTAAAGAAATAATTAAAAAAGAAAGGAGTAAAGATATAAGGAAAAATATCATTCAAGGACCACACCAGCACATTTAATATCAAACAAGGACAAAATTTTGTTAAATATTACTGTAAGACTAGGGATTTATTTGAAAATAATTATAGATAAGAAAAAACTACAATGCCCCTACTTTTCTTTTTTTAACTAACAAGTACTCCCTTTGCTTGTTAGAGAGATTATCACTTTTAGCCTGTATTTTTTATAAGCAAAATAACCTATTTCAATGAATATTTATTGTATATTTCTTAAATCACTTCTTATAATTTACATTAACGAGAAATAATTAATATATACTTATGTTGATTAACACAGACCATTTTAGTTCACTTTTTTATTTTCAAACATAATTATTATAGTTAATCGACTTTATTAAACTGTGTGTGATATAATTTTTTCTCTTATATGTAAAAATGAAAGGAGTAACTATTTGTATTTGATAAAAAATCATTCGTTAATTGACAAATTTAAAAATCTAAAGAGTTTGGTTGTGGGAATGGATAAATATAAATCATGTTTTAATAGTAGCCATTCGATAATTAATAAATATCTATTCATGTTTAACAAGGAGCCATTTGTTAATTGACAAATTTAAGAATTTGAAAGAGTTTGATTGTGCGAAGGAACGAGCGTAGATTATGTTTTAAAAAATAGTTATATGTTAATCAATAAGTACTTATTTTTATTTAATAAGAAGTCTTAGTTAACTGACAAATTAAAAATCTGAATTGTTAATTAACAAGTTTAAAAAAAAAGAAAAGTGAGGTTATTATAGTCATTTCCCATTTAAAATTATTTTTAAATCAATCCTTTGCCCTATAGTGATATTTCAAAACTTTTGCTCTTATTTGATATTAAATATGACCAGTGTTTCTTGAATGATATGTCCCCAAGAAAAATTCCACTTACAGCATTTGATATGCGTTTATCCCGGTGCCTTTTTATTTTTTCGTGTTAGCAAATCATCTAAGATCAAAAGGCAATAGCTATGATTAATTCAGATCGAGTCAGGTTGAAAAATTTTCAAGTGGAAGCTCTATTATCAAATTATGCTGTATTTGCAAGAGAACACACAAGACTTCTAATTAACCTGGTATAACTTTTTTATTTGTTGAACCAAGTGCTTGGTGGCATCTTTTTATTTTAGTATTGTAAAATTGAAGATATTATCTGTCAACCTGTTTTAAGAACTCTTTTGGCCCCAAAAAACCAAAAAAAGATGAGAGCTCTTGTTACTTACATTAATTTGAGTTGGTTATACTTTAACAATAACCCTTACTCGAGACGTTTCATTTCATCATCGCCGAAATGTCCAAACAGATCCTTGCAATCATTTTTTTTTTATTAACTGCAAAGTGCATTCGCTAATTATTATTGTTTATTAATCAGTAGATGTATCAAATGATTCTTGGTGTGATGTGTGACCATGACAATAATTTTTTTCTTTTCTTTTCCAAGTTCACGTTCCATGATGTGAGCAGAGGCTCCGTTTAATGTGGCATCCAATAAGGTTTTAAGGGGTTATTTATGATGGCATCAAGAGTGGGAGGGTCAAAAAACTGGAGAGAATATTTGACTATTAGATTTTCATTTACTTTAATTCAGTCAAGCTTTTATATTTTTTTTCAATTTTCATATTTATTTTCTACGTATTTTAATTATTTACTATTTTAAGCTTTAATAACTTATTATGGACTTAAGTTATTTATTAAGGTTTTCATATTAGCGTTTTTAGAAATTTTTAGTTGAGTTAAGAGTCTTTTTATTTTTTAAATACCACTCATATATAAATGGCATAAGGAGAGAACATATGGAATAAAGAAGTTATTTCTTTTTAACAAACTTCACTTGTTTATTGATATTCAGGATTAAATGTGATGTGGCTTTTCAGGTAATCATTGCATTGAGAATTCCTTATTTGAGAGATCTTATACGTGATATCAACTCTTTATGTGAGTATTTTCAATTAGCATGTTCTCCATAAGATAACATATTATAGGACTTTAGATTATCGTGTGGACTTCCGTATCATTCTATCAAGCGGTTTTGTTTTTAGTATTTTTTTTGGGGGACAAAGTTGCTAAATTTCTGTTAATACACATGTTGCAAACTAACAGCGTCTGCGAATTTTTTTTTTTATTTGTTTAGTTTTATGTGAGAATTTAGAAATCATGAAAATTATGGGTTTGATAGAAACACAAACGTAACGTAGTTCCGTTTCTTACTTTAAGACATGCTTTTGAGTTTGCAAGCATTAGAACTAGGCGAAAACAAACACGCAAGGTAGTGTCGATTACCGTTTTTTTTTTTTTTTGGGGGGGAGGGGGGCTAAGTTTCTATTACGTTTTACTTTACTTTACTACAAGGAAGTGGTCTTGCATTCATCATACAGTGTTTCCATTAATTACGGAAGCTTGCATGACATTGAGTTATATATACCCCCGAAAGAAGTTTAAGTCATATGATATCCCTTTTTTACGTTACATTTTTATAGTAACTGAATTATATATTTGTCTAGAAATTTATAGAAAGTTTAGTGGTTTATATACAAAACATATTTCTATGTATGTATGTGTGTGTGTGTGTATATATATCAAGAAACTGCTATGCCCAAAAAATGTTTCTACATAAAACATTTCTATACTATTCCCAACTAAAAATATTATGAATATGACTCATTATTTCCTTCTTTGGTCGCCGTGATTATCAGTCACATATATCCTTAAATCGCCATTTCCCTCTCACCTTGTAATTCTTTGATAATCAAAACTTTCTGCTTTCCTCGATCATCGTTCGTGCATCACCCAAAATGGCTCTTCAAGAGTCGAAATTGTTAATGATGTTTCTGCTAATACTTTCCATCAAAATAGACGCGACCTACGAGCATGCCAAAAGCGGTACTGTTTCGTCTTCGTCGTCGTCATGGTTGAAGAAAGTTGCTTACCGGCCAAGACATATTGGGTGTTGGAAAAGACCATTGATGTGCAGCCGAGGAGTTCCCTCCGAGGAGGCTGTGTTGCAGAAATCGCTGTGTCGATGTGAAATCAGACAGAAACAATTGTGGGTTCTGTGGTGTGAGATGTGTCTTTAACATGCAGTGTTGTGCAGGTTTGTGTACCGACACAAATATCGACCCTTTCAACTGTGGTTCCTGTGGAAATGTATGCTCCCTCGGGAACCTGTGTGTGTTTGGGTTGTGTGGTTACGCACAACAACCACCACCACCACCTCTACCACCGTCGTGTCCTCCAACGCCACCGTCTCCACCACCGCCATGTCCTCCAATATATGCTGCCAGTACGGTCAGAAGTTCATCATCAGCCCTCTGAACTTTAATAAATTAAGTTCAAACGCAATCCACAAAAGAAGATCAAATTGATAATGAATATCTATGGATCGTTTAATTTGTTTGCATTACGCACATTTACTAAGATTCATTTTTGATGTGCTTATTATATATGATTTTAATTTCTTCCAACATTTGTCTTCGATATATAAATTAAAAAGTTTAGTTATTAATACCTATGCATGAAGCAAATGTTATTTCGAACATAAATATAGAGATACCAATCTCTGTATTCTGGAATCATATGTGGTCACCATTAATTGACACATGCATATGAGGGAACAATTTTTTTGTTAATATACTTGTTGGGTTTAATTGTATTTATATTATTTATTTGTGGTTGCTTCATTATATTCTTCCATTGTAAGACAAGCAAGGAAGTTAGTTACTTGAGCTTATTAATGCATTTGGACGTTATCGATCATCTTCATAGATATATGGATCAATATCGCATTCGATGATTGATATTTGCAAAGAAATGTTTCGTCATATGGGTGATCATATCATAAATGATTCCTCCCCAAGCAAGCTACAGATAAATATGAACGTGGTGGAAGAGGAAGAGGGACGACCAATGTTTAGGACCCGCGGGGAGCTACAAAGTCCGATGAGAACAAATAAGTTGAACAATGGAATAAACACTATTTTAATTCAAAATTTCAAGATTTAAATTTATTTATTATATATTATTTATTATGCCTAATTTTATTATCCAATATAAAAATTTAAGGGTCAATTTAATTTATTATATATTATTTATCAAGTCTAATTTGATTTAGCTGAATTTATTAGACAAAAGAAAAAAAAGTTAATTTTTACAACCCATTCTTTTCGGCGGCGCAACAATATAGAGATAGTGATGAGGAGAAAGAACCAAAAGAAGGTGGGATAAACAAATGGACTCAATTGCATTATTTTGGTGTAATTGCAAATAACATTGCATCATAGCTCAGTGCTATATCATTTTGGCTAAATGCAATAGGGAAGAAGAATGCAAGTGGCGTGACTAGTTGAGATAGAAATATGAAGATTATAATGAAGAACACAAAAAAAAAAAAAAGATGGAAGGATATAACCTATAATCGGGCTCTGACATACCAATCATAGTGAACTAGGTAATAATTCTCCATTTTGAGAGGAGAGAATTCAATTTTGGACATTGAATTTGTTAAAAAAATGTTTAGTGTGATGTTTATTGAAAGGCAATACAGTGAAAATGATTCCAAACAAAATATCAATTGGTGAAACAACAAATTGACTGTAGCATTTTAGAAGTGTCTGATATCACTATTTCCCAATGTGTTTTTTGTGTGTGTAAGATATTTTGAATGAATCAACGGTCAAAGGAATTTTTATAGATGGATTCTCGGTAGTTTTGGGCAAGAAAAGGTCAATTTTAAGGGATGATACTCTTCCATATACAAAAAGTTTTTGAGAGAAACCAAAGGACGGTAGGTTGGCGGAACATATTAAATTTAATTTGAAGAAATGGTTAAAAGAGATTTTTAAGTCATCGGTAAAATCGTACCCTAAATATTCTCATAATAATTGGACAAAGAGACATTGCAATATTTGATGAATGAAAGATGTATAATATGAAATATGCGAATATAGAACAGTTCCATTAGACCCTGGGGATAACGACAATTTCATTGTATTATTTATTGGCAACCTAACAAGGCTGAAGTGAGTGCGTTATGCAAGGTATAAATTACAATTAAGTAATTTTCAATATTTAAAAGTGAAAAATCCAAAATCATTTCAAAAAATCCAAAATATATATTTAAAAGTGGTTTGAGAAGTAGTACTGTGAAGGAATATTAGATTGCACATCTCCACAGATGCTCTTAGCCAATATTTTGTATTGATATCAGTTGTCTAATTTTGTGGAGCCTTAAAACTAAGGAGTGTGCTGTGTAACTAATAAATTCGTAGTCCTAGGTGGGACCAGGCATATATAATGACTCTCTACTCTACATTTGTATTGCGCAACTCTGTTTCTTTCATTGCAGATGATAAGTGACAATATGTAAAAAGTATGAAGTTCCATTCCAAGATGATTCTTTTTCTGTTCTATTCCGTTATCATGGCTTCACATTAAGACGTCCATCAGCATATTAAACCCTTTATATTAAATATACTTAAAATAATTTATTTTATCAAAATAATTTAAGTAATTTAATTAGATATATCTTTGACTTTGAGGCATCTTTGACTTTATTATTTTTAATATTCTCTTTACTATATTTTTCTTAACTTTTTTTTGTTTTCTTCTTTTTTTATTTGAGTTTATACTTTTTTATAGCTGTAGAGGGCTAAGATCTATTTAATTTTCTTCTTCTTCTTCTTCTTAATTTTTTTTTTCATCTTTCATTCTTTCTTTCCTTTTTCCCCCTTTTTTTCCACATTTTTTGTCCCAATAGAATGGCTCATGATATCATGTTAAGCTCTTTATATTAAGTGCATTTAAAGGTAGTCATTCCTTTCACCAAAATAATTTAAACCATTTGATTAGATACATCTTAAATTTTATATATTTTTAATTTATTTTTTTAGTTTTTAGATGTGGGACATCTTTGGTTTCTTTATCTCTAACGCAACCTATCTTACTTAAGCCACAAGTATTTAAAAAAGAGATTACAATAAAATAAAAATTAAAAATATTATTTTTTAAGATAAAAATTGAATTAGCTTAAAAAAATAAAATAATATTTAATAATTTGATACTTAGGCCTCTTGAATAAATCCACAAGTCTAGGCATTAGAGTTGGATTTAATTATATAAGTTTTTTCATGAGTTCTGGTACTTTAAGAAAATATATTTTAAAACTTGGGTAGTTCAATCAACATTTTCAACCTACACCAATGGAAGGCAACAAGACAAAGTTCAGTTGAAGGTTTTCATGAAAACAAGAATGCCAAGACATAGATGAATCCATAGCCGACGGTCAAACAAATGCCAGAAATATTTTTATAAAGGCTAACCAATGATTGTGTGGTGTGTGCAATATTGCATATTAAAGAACCACCTGCTATAGCTCCCATTTGTTTTAAGTTTGAGGCTCAAGGTCTGTTCATTTCTTGAGCTACTCAAAATGGAAGAGAGTAAAGTTGAGGGAGATAGTCATCATTCACAACCACGGAAGCATTATCATGTGTTCCTCAGTTTCAGAGGAAAAGATACGCGCAGGAGTTTTACTGACCACTTGTATGCTGCGTTACTACGAAAAGGGATCGTTACTTTTAAGGATGACAAAGAACTTGAGAGAGGACGAGTCATCTCGGAGGAAACTCATGAAAGCTATCGAGGGCTCTCTGTTTGCTATTGTGATTTTATCCGAAAACTATTCTTCTTCCTCATGGTGTCTGGATGAGTTGGCAGAAGATTGTGGAATTTAAGGAGGATTTTGGCCTCATAGTTTTTCCAGTATTTCATGGCGTCAATCCGTCTGATATACGACACCAGAAAGGAAAAATTGGAAAAGCTTTTGAGAAACATGAAGCCCAATTTGCACAAGACAAAGAAAAGGTGCAGCGATGGAAAAAAGCTTTGACTCTTGTCAGCAACTTTGGTGGCTGGGACACCAATGATCGGTATGTTCTTTCACGGGGCAACCTTATTTATAAATATTATATATGATAGGAAAAATATATCCATTCCTCTTAGTGTGTTTTGATATTATCACTATTCTTTCTTTCTTTGTTGCTCCTTATTTCCTAAGTTCAATTTTCTACAACACTACAGCATTAGTTTTTATTGTCATTGACAGATTTAAATCTGCTGATGTGTATATAAGTATGAGCGAAAAAGCTACTAACCTTTCTGTCTTTTTGCCTTAACCGTTGCATTTTCTTCCCTATAAAGTTTTGCTTATCGTGCCTAAGATTCTGATTTAATGTCCTGCTTTTCTTTTTGGCCTTATATTCATTTTTTTTCAGACAATTCAATCATAATAAAGAAGTTAACTTGAGTAACATACTTTATATGCATATTAGTCATCATTAAATCCTTATGGTCATATTTAAAATAAATTGATTAGTGTTGTATATGAATAAAATTGAAGTAATTAGGAGTAACAGAATAGAATATAAAGACTAGTACCAAAACACATGTTAAAGTATGGAGTCCAAAACTTGTTTTTTTCCTATAAATGCATAGTAGAGTATATGTAAATCAGTAAAATTACTGTTTTATTTTTGTGTATGGCAGGCATGAAGCGGATATCATTGAAGAAATCGTTGCAGCAGTATGTAGTCGACTGTGTGTTCAGATGCCATCTAAGTTTGATCATTAGTTGGAATTCAATCCAAGGTAAAAAAGATGATGTCTCTTCTAAGATTAGGTTTAGATGATAAATGCTTCGTTGGCCTATGGGGAATGGGTGGAATTGGTAAACAGCCCTTGCAAAAGCTGTTTACGAGACAATTAAGTGCAAGTTCAATACTTATTGCTTTCTTGCAAATATCAGGGAGGAATCAGAAAGAATAGGTTTAGTTGGCTTACAAAGGAAACTTCTTTCTCGTGTCCACCAAAACAATATTGAGATCAATGACTCAGACGAAGGAACGGTTGCAATAAGACACTTTTTATCCAATGAAAAAGTTCTTATTGTTCTCGATGATGTGAGTCACATAAATCAACTGGAGAATTTGGTCGGAGACAAAGATTGGTTTGGTGATGGAACAAGAATCGTAGTAACTACTAGAGACTTGCACTTATTGGTGTTGCATGGCCAATTCACTGAGTACAAGATTAGAACTTTGAGTAACCGACGCAGCCTTAAGCTCTTGTGTCAAAAAGCGTTTTAAAAAGGACGAACCTGAGGAAGGTTATCGAATGTTGTCGGAAAAAATAGTTGAATATTGTGGTGGTCTTCCTTTGGCACTTCAAGTGTCAGGTTGGTTTCATGTAAGAGAAGTCAACGTGAATGGAGAGACACGTTGAATATGGTGAAGCAAAATTTGCACAAGGATGTTCTCAAAACACTTCAATCAAGTTATGATGAATTAGAATACGAAGAACACAAAGCAATGTTCTTAGATATTGCTTGTTTCTTCAAAGGAAAAGAAAGAGTTGAAGTGATGAGAATATTAGAAAACTGTGGTCTTCACCCCACAATTGGAATCGACGTCCTTATTGAAAAATCCTTGATAAGCCCAAGCCTGGGGCAGTGGCAAAGGTTGTCTACACATGCATGTTCTTCTTGAAAGATGGGAAAGAGCATTGTCATGCAAGAATCTCCAAAAGATGCTTCTAGACGCAGCAGGTTGTGGTCTCGAGAAGAAGCTGATAATGTGTTGAAAGGAATAATGTAAGCACAGTGATGTTTTTAGTGCACACTGCTGAATTCAGTTAATTTAATACAATATTGCTTTTATGTTTACGCTGAAATTATTTGTGCTTCTCTTCTAATTATACATCATAATATGTGTGTGTGTGTGCGTGTGTGTGTGTGTATCAGGGAACAGAAGCTATTCAAAGCATAGTCTTGAACTTGGAAGAACCATACATGGAGATTGGCACCCAGATTGCTTCTCAAATATGAGTAATCTAACATTGCTTTACCTAAGTAATGTGCACATTTTGCATTGTCTGAATTTTCTTCCTAGTTCTCTGAAGGTTCTTATATGGGATAGATATCCTTTGGAAGCTCTGCCACATAATATTAACCAATTAGGTGAACTTGTGGAGCTTACATTGCATCAAAGCAAAATCAAACAACTTTGGAACGGAACACAGTAACTGTCCTCCTCACTCTTAACTAACAAAAAACTGAAGCATTATTAGTAATCCTGCCACTGAGTTTTCAAACGAGAAAAAAAAATTGATGCATCTTTTTGTTGATCAGTTGTTAGGTAAACTGAAGTTGATCAATCTGAGTTATTCTGAGGATTTGATTCAGACGCCAGATTTCAATGGAGTTCCAAATCTTGAATGCTTGCTTCTTGAAGGTTGTAAGAGCCTATTTATGGTTCATGAATCTCTTGGGCAGCATAAGAAACTGGTAAAGTTGAATTTGAAGGACTGCACACCTGAGAATCCTCCCCAGAAAGTTGGAGATGAATTCTCTGGTGGAGCTTCTTCTTTCTGGATGCTCAAAACTTCAGAAGCTTCCCAAATTGGAGAAAATATGAAAAATCTGTCCACATGCGATGTGAGTGACACCAATATAAGAAAAGTCCCTTTCTCCATCATTCATCTGACAAATCTCAAAGAGCTATCTCTTCATGGATACAAAGGGCCATATTCCTTCTCACCTCTGGATTCTCTTCCTTGAAAAAATTGGATTTAAGCTTCTGCAACTTGTGGAATCCATCAATCCCTCATGATCTGCGAGGCTTATCTTCATTGTAGAGTTGGATTTAAGGGGAAACCAGTTCTCTAATCTACCTTCTGACTCCATCTCTAATCTTCTCAACCTTCAAACGCCTTTATCTCAGTGACTGTGCGAGGCTTCAATCACTTCCTTCCCAAGCTTTCACCAACTTAATTAGAATATTTGCAAGTTGCTGTCCTTCAATGAAACCCTAAAAGACATGCAACATCTAGTTTCATCACTTGTCTGCAAGGTCTGTGATCTCTCTGAAACTGTGTTTTTTTTTTTTTCCTGTGAATCATGTTCAATTACTAAAAAGGTCATATCTTTATCATCGTTACAGCGTCGCAGTGATCTTCTACATGAGGTAATTTTCTTGCGTGTGCCTGGGGATAAAATCCAACTTGGTTTAAAGAGAAAGAACATTGTGTACATTATGCTTCTCACGAGTTTGAGGCAAATATAGCTATAAAAGTAGACACTTCTGATAATGATGAGAGGCAATGGTGGGGAATTGCAGTGTGCCTTGTGCTGAGAAAAAGAAAGGCATCATTTTTCTGTATAAGAAGCGATCTACGTTGGGGTTTCAAGATCCTAACGAAGAAGAAAAACAGGTCAAGAAATCACTGTTTGGGAGTGCAGATTCAAATCCTCATCTCTGTATAGCAATTTTTCCCTTTAATAATTTGAGTTATAGGCAACAATGTCATCTAGAGGAAAAGTCAGGCTCAGCTTCAGCTTCAATTACATTGAGATTTGTGGAGGTTTGAATGTAGAAGTGCACTGTGGATGGCGCATAATATGTAAGAATGATTTTTTGAAGGGTAAATTGTAAATTAGGAAGTACCATTTACATGCAAGCAGTAGCATGCAGGCTGAGCATATATTGGCTATGAAATGAAAAGTGATATGCTTTGTGACTTTGATTTGATATATTGTGAATTATGTGTGGGTAATTTGTTGATTGACATCTATCTATATGGTAAAATACATCGGGATACTATAGCCCAATAGTTGAATGAACAGTGATTTTCCTTATTTGCCCTTATTATTGTCCTTTTGTGTTGTAAACTATGTCAGTTTGGGTAGAGCCATCAATTAGTAATGTCCAGCCCTTTTAAACTTAAAAAAATCTAGAGCGAGCTGTGCTACTTTAAGTATAATGATAATTAGATTTAAAAGGGTCGGCCCTTTTATAATTTTTTTAATTTTACATTAAAAAATTAAATATTATACTAATTTTAAAATCCTAAACTCATTTTATGGGAATGAAAAAGAATATATGAAAAACTTAATATGATTGCCACTATTTGGTGCTCCACAAAGAGAAGGATAAAATTACATTGATATGATAAACAAGGAAAATCATCAATATTTCACTAATTATGGTAGCAAAATTTGATTATTATCAATGTTAATTTTGTGATGTTATTTTTATTAGACTTAAATTTGTTTTATAGATTTAATGTTATGTGTAATAATTTTTTTTAGAATATTAAATATATATTTCTAAATTTTTAATTATAAAAAAAAAAAATGTATATAGAGTCAAGGCCTTGAGGGCTAGCTTTTCAATCATAAGGGCCAAAATCGAGCTAAGCAAAATGAAACTCTAAAATATATTGGACTTACAAATCAGCTTATTTAGACCCTAACCCTTCAAAAGGCTGGGCCTAATCCTATTGAACACTTCTAGCATTAAAGGGCCGGCCAGGCCCTAAGGCGCCTCTGGCGTCGAGGAACAATATCTACCATTTAAAACAAATAGAAAAACCAGAATCAAAGGACTTCAGAGTCCAAACAAAATTCAATAATAGAATAATAAAATTTAACTCATTTAAACTCAATAAAAAAAAAGGAAAGCTAATAAAAATAGTAATGAATGAAGTTAGAGAAGATTAACTGAAGGAAACAAAAGCAAAATGCAAACCAAAAAT